GAGCTAAGGCATTTTGATAATTCTCAAAGGAAAAATCAAAGCAGATCTGGCTTTTTCCAAAATTCAAGTACTCTTGGTGGAACTGCTGAGACCGAGAGTATTTCGAGTCATAATGTCATAATGCCCTTTGGACCTGCTGCTGTCGTTCTCTCTTGGTCTCCTGTTCCGGGAAGCCTGCTCTCTAGATTGTTTTGATTAAACCCAGTCTGGGGCGTCAGATTCTTAGCACATCCTCCGCCATATTTTATGATAAATCTCATTCAATTTCCCATGCAGGGTGGCAAGCTTTATTGCTTAACAAACATTGCATCTACTCGGCCATAATTTATATCTGAATGGGTTTATTATAGGCGTTGCATTTCATTCATTGTGCAGCTAATTCCATAACATGCTGCCTGCTTTCTCTATGGCAGTTTGGCCATTATCAGCTTCCAAGACAATTGAATCTTTCCCTTGCAGTTTCACAAAATGGTTTATGAATATGTAATACAAACTGTGTTAACAAGGCAAATATACTTCATTTCCTTTATGGCTATTTCCAGGCTGTGGCTGGGAAGAAGAGGCATAACAATGTGTCTCACTTAGAGTATGTTGTGCCCTTAATGGCGAAATGCACTCCCCTTGGCAGTTCCCTTTGAAGGCCTGTATTGTCTTTGAGCGAGCCATGCGCTGTTGTGCGGTTCCGTGTGAAATGAGCCCCAGTCGACCTCCCATGGATTCAATTATCTTCTCTACACGGATGGCACGCTCTTCTCTTTGCCTCCCCCAAGCTTGCTCTCCTAGTGTGGTCCTACGTGGTGTTCTCACTGTAAAATAGCTCCATTTGGGCGCCCCGCCGTCGTGGTGGGAACAGAATTGCTCATTTTCCACATACGGCTCTTTCCCCTTGTACCTTTCCCCGTGACCTTCACGCCCAAGCGCAGTTCTAGACTTAGGGCTTGTCCAGATGAATGGGAGATTCTCTGATCAGGCTCCGCTCATGAGACAGAGAGCTCACCTGGTCAGTGGGTGCTTTTATTAATAACTCCAAGGTGACCCACCTGGATCTTGATATCTGATTGACAGTTTCAAGATGGAGACTTATAAAGAATATGAAATGTACACTTTATTGGACACCCATCATGCCAGGGCTTTTCCCCTGCAATATCCACTTTCAAGCAGGTTTTACTCTCATTCACAAATGAGGAATTTGAGGCCCCATGAAATGAAGCAACACTTCTAAGGAAGGCAGAAACTCCCCCAAATCCAGAGGTCCCTCCTGCACAGATTTCAAATCTGCCCACTCAGGTCCACATCTGCTGCCATCTCAGACTGACACAGCATCCAGTTCCACCTCGGGTATTGAGGAGAGCCCTCCCCTTCTCTCCCACATCTATTCCTATCTCCCTCCCCAGTTCACACTCCCCTCTGCAGGATGTTTCCTCTACAGAAGCACAGTCCTGCAGAACTTCTCCAGTGCTGAACATGTTCTCTATCTGTCCTGTCTGGATTTGGTAGCGACTAGCCGCATGGGGCTACTGACCGTTTAAAATGTGGGCTCCTGTCACTAAGAAGCTGAATTTTCTAAACTAATTTTTATTCATTTAAATTTACATAGCTACACTTAGTGGCTACTGCATTAGAAAACGCAGATCAAAAGTACAGATCTGACCTTATTTCCCTGTGATTTAACACTATTCAGAATATTCTCATTTCTCTTAGATTAAGAACCCAAACCCCTCAGCTGGTTTACAGAGACTCCGCCTGATCCAGCAGCCTGTTTCCAGGCAGAGTTTGCACTGTGTCCTCCCACTCTGTGAACCAGGCCCTCTGGCCTCCCTTCACTCCCTGATCTGTGCCCTAGTCCTTCCCCGGTTGGGGCCCTCCCACAGAGAACATGTGGAATTTCCTCCCCACCCACACGGCCCCAAGGCACCAATGTCTTTCTCCCCAGGGAAGCCCGGAGGCATCTTCCCCAACCATTTGGGACCTCAGTTGGACCTTCTTACAACACTCAGTTTTCCTCCTTCCCATCACTCCTCAGTTTGAGCATTGATATATTTAGCCTTCTGATTTCCTGATTAAAGTGTTAGTTTCCTTGTGCTGTTTAACAAGGTATCACAAACTTAGTGGCTTAAGTTAAGGTAAGGTGAAGTCACTCAGTCGTGTCCGACTCTTTGAGACCGGATGGACTGTAGCCTACCAGGCTCTTCCATCAATGGGATTCTCCAGGCAAGAGTACTGGAGTGGATTGCCATTTCCTTCTCCAGAGGATCTTCCCAACCCAGGGATTGAACCCAGGTCTCCAGCATTGTAGGCAGATGCTTTACTGTCTGAGCCACTAGGCTTAAAACCACACACATTTATTTGCTGATAGTTCCGGAGGTCAGAAATCCAAGATCACCCTTCCTGGGATAAAGTCAGGCATCAGCAGAGGCATCAGCCTCCTTCTGGAGGCACCAGGAGGGAATCCATTTCTTTGCCTCCTCCAGCTTCTGGAAGACATCTGCATTCCTGGGCTCATGGTCCCTTCTTGCATCTTCAAAACCTCCTGACTCTTCTTCCCTCTCCTCCATGTCGAGGATGCTTATGACTACACTGGGCCCAACTCGGTGATTCAGGATGAATATGCAGATCCTTCACATCTCTCAAGTCCCTTTTGCCACATAATCCCCGGTTCCAGGGATCAGGATGTGGACATCATCAGGTGTCCACCAGTCTGCCTGTTGCACTCCCCAACTAGTTCATAAACTCTGTGTCAGCAGGGACCTCTCATCATTGCCAAGTACAGTATCTGGTTCATTGTTGAAGACAGAGAGAGCGTGTGTGTGTGTGTGTGTGTGTGTGTGTGTGTGTGTGTGTGTGAATGAATGAACAAATGATAGAATTCCTCCATCAGAAAGAAACCACCTTGCAGGAAAATCCATAAACAGCTTATTAAGCATCCATTTAACCTAAATATTTTTGTAAACTACAATTGCCCTTCATGTTAAACCGAGTACAAACTACAGATAGCAACAAGCCTCCCTTCTCATTGGGTATTGCCAACAATACCTTCTCATCAGGGCCTGCCTCCTCATGCCATTCTACCAGGCTTATTCACCATCACCTCCTGTCCCTCATAGCCCACAGCTTTTCATGTTGAACTAATTGTCTCCTTGAATTAAAGGAGAGATGCCACTTGAACAGAAACCTAGGTAAATCAAGACACATACGTTGACAGCACCCACAGTATTTGGTCTGATTCCAGATTAGCACTATCAACAACTTATTTATTTTGTCCCTGAGGCTTCTGAGTGGGAACAGCACTCATTAAAAGGTATACTTGTCACTGTTCAATTCATGGGTTCATATGCATGTGAGCACACACACAAACACAACCACACATACACACACACTTCTGTATAATCTATTTTTAAAAGACAGAACAAAAATATGCTGACAGCTGTTGCCTCAATCACTGAATTTCCAAAATGTATGCTTTTTTCCCCATAAACTGTGCTTACTTCCAGAATATTTTTGAGCTGGACAGGCATTGTTTGAAATCACCTAATCCAATGCCCAAATGTCTTGTTTCAGGTAAAGAAACTGAGGCCCAGAGCAGGGAACTGGGTTGTCCCAGGCCTGTCAAGGTGTACATGGCAGGATGGATGACTTGACAATCACACACTCTGGACACATTTCTCAGGATTTTGTTTCCTAGGACTCATATCCTGACCTTGCTGAAAATTTGGGTTGAGAGTGGAATAAAGCGAGAGGAAAACCCTGGCCCTGCACACTTGCTGCATACGTGACACAGGCCAAGTTAATGTCTCTGCCCACTTGGTCTTTGAGGGTAAAAGACAGGGAAGGAGGGGAGGACACTAGCTCTCTCCCACGACTGCTGCAGGGATCAGAGCCAACAGGGCCCGAGAAGCCGCCTTTCGTGGCTTTCGCTGTCACACTGACTCAGCAGTCCCCATCCATCCTCGCCTCTTCCCTCCCTTCTGTGTCTGCTTCTATGAAGACGTGTTCCTCTCTCAACACTCTGTCAACTCACTCAGCCAGCCCTTATCAGCATGCCCATGAGTCAGATGCCCTCCAGGCCCCAAGGGAGAAGGGCGAGGAGACACCGCCCAGGGCCGCACGGAGCCTAGGGTGCAGAGACATGTCCACGGAAGAGAGAGTGGTTGACCGGCCAGGGTGCTGGGGGCACAGGTGGCCAGAGAAGGGCAGCCATGCCAGGCTTTGGCACAGGAGAGACATCTTGCAGAAGGCGTGGAGAAAAGGGAACCCTGCTACACTGTTGTTAACACAAACTGGTGCCGCCACTAGGGGGAACAGTATGGGGATTCCTTAGAGAACCAGAAACAGAGCTACCGTAAGATCCAGCGATCCCACTCCCGGGCATACATCCAGAGAAAACTCTAACTCAAAAAGACACATGCGCCTCAGTGTTCACTGCAGCACTGTTTACCGCAGCCAAGAGATGGAAACAGCCTAAATGTCCATCAACAGAGGAATGGATTAAGAAGATGTGGTGCATACATACAGTGGAATGTTACTCAGACAGAATGAAATCATGCCACTTGCAGCAACATAGGTGGACCTAGAAATTATCATACTAAGTGAAGTAAGTCAGACAGAGAAAGACAAATATTAAATAATATCACTTACATGTGGAATCAAAAAAGTAATACAAACATTAATAAACAGAAACACTCACAAACATAGGAAGCAAACTTACAGTGATCAAAGAAGAAAGGAGAGGGGAGAGATAAATTAGGAGCATGAGATTAACATTACACATACACACTACTATGTATAAAATAGATGTATGGCATGCAGAATTACATTCAGTGTTTTGTGATAAACTATAATGGAAAAAATCTGAAAAAAAATATACAACTGAATCATTTTGCTGTATATTTGAAACCAACACAACATTGTAAGTCAACCATAGTTCAATTTTCTGTAAAAAGATGAAGACAGACAGACATCTCGGAGGAAAAAGTGACGTCGAAGCCAAAACCTACGTAATGTCAGGAAGTCAGTGACGAGTAGCTGACGAGAGTCCCAGCAGAAGGACAGGCATGAGCCAAAGCCAGGAGGTGAACAGCGGCATGCGGGGAGCCCACAGGGGCCAGCCTGGGCCTCGGGCCGTGGGGGCGCCTGAACCCTGAGACGCACGGGCCCGGCGGGGGCAGCTGAAGCAGGACCATGAGGGCCGGGCAGAGGGGCGGCAGAGGAGCCCTCCGAGGCTGGCTTATTCCAGGGCGGGGCTGCAGGACCCACCGGGGACAGAGCAGAGCGGCCCTTCGTATGCCAGCGGGAGAGCAGCGCGCGAGGCTGCAGCTGGCCCGGGGGGTGAGGCTCTCGCCGCAGACGGGCTCCCAGACAATAGAGGGTGAGGGGGCCTCAGCCCCAGGACACTGGGAGACATCAGGAATCTTCAGCTGAGTCCAGCCCACCAGCCGCCGTGGGGCTTTACAAGGATCCTTGAGATTCAGCCTCACCGGGCCCTGACGTCAGCGCTCACAGAGTCAGGAATGCGGGGTTTTCAATAAAAGTGTAGGCAATGGGCCCAGGGGGAGCCCTGGCTCAAATGAGCTTTTATATTTTTATGTGGAATGTAATCACGTTTGGTCATGATTGAGGCCGCCCCGTTACTGCTATTAGAGCGTTTATGGTTCTAAGGGGGATACGCGTCTTGGGGGATACGCGTCTTTGGTGATACGTGCTTGCCACTGAAAGCAACAGGGCCTGCTGACTCCAGGAGCCACTGCAAAACTCCTAAGAACACAGAGATCGGGTTGATGGGCATTGTTGCCCTTGAGAGGGCGGTTGAGAGGACTGGCTTCAGGCCCAGAAGAGGCCAGACCCAGGCTGAGTCTTCTCAGGAGGGACACTTTGGATTGGAGGTTTTCCCCAGCAGCTTCCCTGGTGTCACATCACAGAAGGAACACCTACCTAATGTGTGTGGGTTCTAGGTTCTTTACACAACAGATATATAAATTCAAACCTCTATAAGGTGGTTCCCACTCAACAGACCCATTTTCCATGTGTGCAAAACCAAGGCTCAGAGATTAGTGGTTTCCCAGGAGGACATAGTCCAGTAGGTCATGAGCTCCCTAGGGTTCTGTGACAAATGACTGCAGACTGAATGGCCTAGGCAACAGAAACTTAGGCTCTCACAGCTTTGGAGGTCAGAAGCCCTAATCAAGGTGCCAGTCTGGGTAGTTGCTCCCGGACACTCTGGAGGAAAACCTGCCCCCTGCCTCCCTTCTCACCGCTGGCGGCCCCTGGCAAGACTCGGCATTCCATGGCTTGTCCCTGCAGCACCACGCTCTCTGCCTCTTCCCTGTGGCTTCTGTGTCCTGTTCTGTGTCCTACCTATAAGGACACCTGTCTTTGGATAGAGCGCCTACCCTGAATCCAGGATGATTTCATCTCAAGATCCTTAACTATTGACATCTGCAAAGACTCTCTTTGCAAGTAAGGTCACATTCTAAGGTTCTGGGTGGACATCAATTTGAGGGGACACTAGTCAACCCAGCAGGAGAAGGCAATGGCACCCCACTCCAGTACTCTTGCCTGGAAAATCCCATGGACAGAGGAGCCTGGTAGGCTGCAGTCCATGGGGTCGCACAGAGTCGGACATGACTGAAGCGACTTAGCAGCAGCAGTCAACCCAGCACTGTAAGTAAGGGGAACAGGAGCTGAGCTGGGGCCCTTTGAGGGCAAAGCCAAAGAGACATGTGGCCTGTGATGCTACACTTGCTCACAGCTGGCCACACAGATTTTCCACTGGGGTCTCTTCGACATCTGTTTTTTTCCTTATTGCAGGTTGCCTCCAAACCACTTCTTGCAAGTATAGACCACGCCTCTGCAAGACTCTCTTTAGCCAAGAACAGAGAGAACGCTAGAAAGATCACAGAGGACCAAAGACTCGACAGGGAAACACTGTGAGGCTGGAAATAAGAGAAACATTCTGCTCTGGAAATGAGACCCAAGGATGCGTCTTATCTCTGCTCATAAGCTGGTTAGTTACTTGACCTCTCTGAGCCTCACTTTCCCTATTGGAAATTGGGCATGAAATCCTTCAGGTTTACTTGATGTAAATGACAGAGTTAATGGAAATGGAGGTTCTAAAAGTCCCTGGCAGAGAGTAGTTGATCAACAGAGGCTTGTCGGATCTGAATCTGCTCTCATCTCCTCAGAGACGGAGGAGGAGAGCCAGACCCCTAAAATGAGGAAGGTTATTCAAGACCTATCAGGTAGATGCTGATAAATGAGGGGGACAGGCAGATATAACCACACATGTGTGAGGCACAGACATACACGTAAACACACATGTGTGTACCCAACACTGTGATTAACCGTGGTTGCTGGGAATACCTCGCCCCCTCTGTTTAGCCCTCTGCATGGCCCTCCATCTGTTGATTTTGCTGAGGGCCTATTCTCTGTTCCAGATCCCGCGCAGGTGCTGTACTTCACGTCACTGAATCTTCACACTGCGCCTGGTAGGTCTCCATAATTATTATCCTCCTTGCTTCCAGCCCGTGTGACCTGAGCGGCAGAGCTGACCCTGACACCAGGTCTGTCTGACCGTGACGCTGCCCTTTCCACCCCTATAACGCCATCCGTGACGGCCGCCGCAGGGACACCTAGAAGGTGCCTAGGAAGCGGAGGAGCACCGTTAGCTTCTCCAGCCTGGGTCAGGAAACAGGAGAAGCAGCAACTGTTTCTGCCTGACAGAGGAGCCAGGCAGGTCCAAGCTCGTGCCCTTGCTCTGCTCACACCGGCTCTGTGGTCCGGAGGAACTGACAGAGCTGTGTCTGAGCCTTTGTTTTCTTATCTGTCCTAAGGGGATGAGATGCCTTCATCAAAGGGTTGACGTGAGAACTCCAAGAATAAATGCAAGGAAAAGGTGTTAAGACAGAAAACCGTTTGGCAGGACCTAATGAAGCAGAACATGACTCATGGGGTAGATACCCAGCAGAAAAGCATGCAAACATATGTGATGGGACTGTACACCGCAGAACCCTTCATAATAACTCCAAATAACGGAAAAGTCCATCGACAGTTAAAATGAGAAATGGTGCTACATTTCACAATAGAGTAACTCTAGACTCAGGACAATGAAGGAAGGACACTGCAAACAACATAAATACATCTCATAAAATATAATGTTGAGACAAAGAAGCCAGAGCATAGTGTACATTTCCATTTACATAAAGTTCAAAACCAGGCAAAAGCTGATCTACCGGGTGAGAATCTGGGTTAGTGGCCACTCTTGCCAGGGGCAGGGGTGGTGGTTGGAAGTAGGTACAGGAAGGCACCTCGAATGTTGCACGTGTTCTGTTTCTTGATTTGGGTGTTGATCACAGTGAGTTCAGTTTGTGAAATTCATTAACCGGTATGCTGATGCTCTGAACTGCAGTACAAGTTGATACTTCAATACAAATTTTTTTTATTTTTTCTTTTTAATTATATGGAACAGCATCTGGCATAAAGAACATTTTCAATAAGGGCTAGTTTTCTTTTCTGAAATGATTCAATCATAAACCTTTGCAAGAAAAGAAACTTCCATATGCAAATAATGTCTTTAATGAGATTTACTCACTGGGGGGACAAATAATTTGGAAAAAGGGCACAGAAGGAAGGTCACAAAGTTGGAGGGGTGGGGGGTGATGAGGATGCGTTTGTGCCAATCTCTGTGGGTTCCCTGAGTTGAGACTCCGATCCGTGTCAGTTTGGCACCCAATAATGATTTCATCTGTATTTCCCAAGAGCTTTGAAAAATCAAGCCTGGCCCTCCATTAGATCCTCCAGTGCCCTGTTGGTCTAGCCCCTGCCTATCTCATCAACTTCCTGTCCACACCCCTCACTTCCACCCTCTGGTATCCAGCCCCACTGACCTTTGCCTGGCTTCTTCTCTAGGTCTTATTGTCTGCTTAAATGTCAACTTCTCAGCCAAAGGAGTTGCCATCTGAATGATTCTTTTCCATAAAACTCTGTTCCTCTGTGACACTGAGATTCCCTCAGATGTTAATTTCATTAACATTCACTTGGCCACTTCCTTGCTTATTTTCTGTCTTCTCTTCTATCAAATTTATATTCATCCTTATATCCCCAGTATACGCCAGCAAATGCTTTTCATACAGCAGGCTCTCAAAATAGAGAGATAGAGCAAATTGAATCAGAGGCATTTTAGGTTTGTTAGTAGAATTATAATAGATCGGTCTCACTCAAGTATTGAGCCAGCAAGAGTATCTTCAACTGGACTATTCCAGATCACACTGATCCTCAAAATCCTAAATTCAACTAGAAAAGCTTTTGGCAAAATGGGGGTTTCAAACTAGAACACAGGAACCAGAGAATGGGCGGATGAATAACAGGGCCAGATGTCATAATGGGGAGTGGGGGCCGGGGAGGGGCGTGGCAGAGGAAGCAGCATTTGATCAGGCGAAATGCAGGGCCCATGATCAGTGCCACCCAGCTGCCACCATCTTGGAATGTAGGTCCCGTGACCCAATCCCCCAGTTCTCCGACAGAAGCCAAAAATCAAGCTTTGCATGTGGACTCTGCCAATTTTTTAGTGTTGGTAGTAGATTTAATGTTTCCTCAGAGTGTGTAGCAAACTCTTTCTGTGGGCTATTGGCATCCTCCGTTCTGACCCTCATCAGCCGTTTTATAAAAGGGGAACAGGGCTGCAGAGAAAGGAGATGGCTCGTTACAGATCTCAAGATTAGTACATGGCAAGACGCTCTGGAATGGCTCAGCACTCAATGCCATTTCCACTGGATCCATGAGGAGAAAGACCTCAGTGCACACATCTGGCTTAATTGAGACAAACTAGCCGTCATAAAATTAAATGATCTCTTGGATTAAGCACACTAGATTAGGAGGATCCTATGTGCCTCTCTTCATTAGCATTAAATGAAAGCTGGTAGCCCGGTCGTGGGCTGGTAGGCCCATCACCACAATCGTAGGAGAGGGGAGTGAGGCCGTGTTAACGTTTGATATTAATTTACAGCCAACCTGGAGTCAGAGCTCCACACCAGGGGCCCCGTCTGAAAATGCCTCTTTGTGAAGCCCTGCTCCCTCTCTGCTTGCAGCAGCTCCTTTTTAATTCTGTCTCAGCAGCTTGGGCCTCACCCTGTTAGAGAAAGAGTAATCGTAAATCTGCATGAAGTTTCTGATGATTAGTTTTACTTGGAATTGGGCCAAAAAGCCAGACTTTTGCCAATTCCATATGTACATGTAAGTTCTTTCAAGAAAGAATGCATTAATCCTTCCCACTGGGCTGGGGATGAGGAGGTGAGGGGCCTCGTGGAGGAGGCGGGCTTCATGGCCTCAGTTTTGTGTTTAGAGGGTGGGCCAGGACCACTTAACAGAGACTTTAGTACGTGGACTAAAGTACTAACGTTTTACTGCAGCACCAAGGGTCACAGAATGTGAGTTTTTTAGATAGATGAGAAAACAGACTCACAATTTAAGTAACTTGCCCGAGTATGTG